ACTTCTAATGAAGATATGCTAACATTATCTCTGCAAAAATGCATCCTCATGAAAGTAAGCAAAGGATTGGAATTTTAACAGTTTAATACATGAAAATATACTTTTTGATTGTGCAGGAAATAAAAAAGAAATCTTTGACATAAAAATAGTGACCTAAAGGGTTCTGCATCCTACTCACACCATAAAATTAGCAGCACTGTCAGCCTGCAGAATGTTGCTCTATAAAGGACCTCCTGTCAACAGGGCCTCTAATACCGACTGGACATGCTCTGAATGATGTGAGGTAACAAAGATAGCGTTCTAACAGGGAAAAATGAAACCAAACAAAGGTGAAACAAACCTACCTCTCTTCCTGTTGCTCTTCTCTGACCTAGCATAGAGCAGTGCTCTCAAACAGCCGGTGTTCTTTGAAATTTAGATGCATCTCTGCTTCAACACAGCTGACTCAAATTAGCTCATTAGCAGAAGTCTGTAGAGGTTAACTGTTTGATGTGCAGCATCAGCGCATTGTTTGCTGATTAGTGCATTGTTTCACACTCCTGAAGGTCCCCCAACTGGTGGATTATTTTGACTAAATTAGTCTTAAAACAAAATATGGATTCCTCCTGGTTTCCAGCGGCTCTTTTGTGATTATTATTTTCTCAGTGATTTATTAGCTGTGTGGACAAGAGCAACCCACACTAACACTTCTGAACTTAAAAGCTCTTCTGTTTCTCTTCTCTGTGGGTGACCAACATGAACACCTTGAATTTGCATTCGTAGGATGAAGCATGGTAGTGGCAGAATCATGCAGTGGGTAAAGCTGTTGATAAATGATGCTAGGGGTGCAAATCTGGAAGAAAATGTGTAGAAATCATTAGATAAAAGCATAAAGTTTTACAGTGGGCTAGTTAATGTCCAGGCTTTAATCAAGGTGAGCTCTATTAACCAATAGGTGACTTTTTAACCTAATTTTATATTAGATTTTGCAGTGGCAGCTTGGTAAATACTCTTTCTACTTTTTCTAATTAAGCCTTGCTCTTTTATTAAAAAAGGCATTGAAGTAATGAGACAAATTACACAAACAAGCTACATCTTCAAGCAACACTGCGCACAAGATCAATCCGATGGAGTCTTTATCACATCCTACTGGTTCAATTTCTCTCAAAATAAAAATGGCCCAACATGTCTATTGGTGTATCTGTCTTCCATCTTTCTAAACGGTTCATGTCAGCTAACTACGGGTCAGCTGTGCGAGCTCTGACAGATCCATGCACTGTAACAAGGGAAGTGAAAAAAAAACAACCTCTCAGCCCCATAAACAGATCAGTAAGGCATGATTTAACAAGGCACCTCTTTGTTGGTAGACATTTTAATTCTGTGTAAACGGCGAGATGAATCAGTTCCCAACACGGTGTCAGAAACCACGAAGCGCGCGGTTAGATTTCACAGAGAAACAAGCCGATTTGTAAATAATAACTGCCCCAGGCGACGCGCAGCGCAAAGGCTGAATGGTATCTGTGTGCGTCCGTGTGTGTGGGTGTTTCAAAGGGTGTTAGCTGCAGCACAAATGGAGGATGGGATGAGTGTTGCGTGCATGTGGATGTGTGTTTTTTCCTCTTTTTTTGACAAACAAGCATTGTGGCTGGCACGCTAATTACAGCTGGCTTGGGTAAAGGCAGGGAGAGTTCGGCAATTACACAATGGACTTATGTTTGTGTGTGCGCTTAAGTAAGGGAGAGGATTTCTCAACTGGGGAACGCGTTTGGGTGCATGAACCTAATCAAGGTGTGAGTGGGAGGCAATTGGTCCAGCTTGATTTGATACCTGTTTGATTTATTCACTAATCAGAACCAATCAAGCTCCAGCTTCGGCTCAGCGGGACGATCGCAGCTCACTTACGCAGCGCTGAGACGCTCAGTTTTCAAATACTTCACACTTAATGCACTTTGAGCAGGGTTTCCAACACTCTGGGTGTTTTCATCAGCTGCCACTTGTGGTGATTTACAAAGATGTTGAGAGGTGAGAGGGTTTTAATGCAGTTTGCATTCTGGGTTATGTAAATGGGTGCTGCTTTCAGGGTTAGCACAACTCATCATGATACAGCACAGATCCAAAAGGTTCTGGCATAATTCTGGGCTTAAGAGACGCAGCTTTTAGGCAGAGTCCATACATTTGAACAAGGATGGCATATTTTGACCTTCCCAGAGATTTAACATTAAAGGTATAGTGGAGGATTTTCTCGAATTTTTGAAAAAAATAAAAAATGCAAACGAACAACCCTGTACACACATCAATTTCAAACAGATGGTATCGGTCTGGGCCAATACTGCACAGCCAGGTATCGGTATTGGGGCAAAAAAAAAAATGCCATCGGTTCAACACTAGTAAAAAACCAAGCATCATAATGGAAAAGAAAGTTGATCTAGGTGACTTTGAATGTGACCTGGTTCTTGGTGTCAGAAAGGCAGAAACTGCTGATCTACTTGGATTTTCACACATAACCATCTCTAGGGTTTACAGAGAATGGTTAGAGAAAATATCCACTGAGCCTCTGTTCTGTAGACGCAAATGCCTTGTTGATCCCA